TTGGCACTCCCAAATGCGGCACGGAGGGTCAACTATGCGGCAGGATTTTTGACGGGAAACGCTCGTCTTTGGTTGATAGCGGCATTGGAAGCTAACCAAGTGTTTTCCGACTGGCCTGCTCTGAAAGCGGCACTTGGCGATGTGTACGGACCACAGCACAACGAGGAAACATCGCGTATGGGACTAATTTCCGCAGCGCAGCGCGGGTCGCTGGACGCATACATTGCTGCTTTCACTCGCCTCAGCCTGCAAGTGCCGGAAATCGACCACCACACCAGAGCGCTGCTGTTCGTCAGGGGTCTAGTGCCGCACATTCAGCGACAGGTCATGTGTGAGCATCCACGTACCCTGGAGCAAGCTGTCATGGCAGCAAACACCGTGGAGCAGTCGTCAGGGCCACCGGCGTCGGGGCCACCAGCCAGTAGAGAGTCGCGTTCCGTGCCCAGCTTCCGTGGTCAGGGCCTCCGCAAGCTGACGGACCAAGAGCGTGTCCAACTGCGAGCAATGGGACACTGCTTTGCTTGCAGGAAGCCAGGCCACCTCGCTAAAGACTGTACTGAGGGGGGACAGCGCTACCCAAACGCTGGTCGCCAGTAAGAAAGGGGGTGCGCTTACTGGCGACGACCCAAGCACCCACGCCCGTACCAGTCGCTAACCGGTTCGGGGCTCTGGAGGTTGAAGACGTTGCTCTCCAGGAACCTACGGAGCCGGAGACACCCATAGCGGTAGGAAATTGTCCTGTTGCAGAAAGGTGTCATGTCAGCAACGTCAGCGTCGGCAATGAACCTGAACACGACCTACTGCGCATACAGGGAAAGATCGGCGGTCGCCGTGCAGTGATGCTGATAGATTCCAGTTCGACGCATGACTTCATTGCAGACGGTTTTGTTCGAAAGCATCATCTTGACACGGATGCAAGCTCAGAAGTGCTGAGCGTAACATTGGCGGACGGCTCGACCAGCGAGGTCCCGCAGATTTCCACGCGCACGCTAAAGGTGACAGTCGGGGGCTTCAGTGAGGAACAGCACTTTACTGTGTATCCCCTGACTCGCTACGACGCTATTCTTGGCAAGCCGTGGCTTACAAGGAACAACCCCAGCATCAACTTCCGTACGAACGAAGTTCAGTTGGACGGTGAGCCTTTTGTTGCCAAATTGCCTTCAGCTAACCCGCCGACAGCCGACCGGCCATCTGTGGAAAGCATGTTTATCAGTGGCCGACAAGCTCGTCATGCCCTGAGGAGTGGAGCCGAGGGGTTTCTTGCATGGGTCACTGCTGCAAACGAGGAGAATCGTTCCGGGCCACAACTCCAGGAATCAGAGCAACATGACATCCAGAACCTGCTCAAGAGGTACCAGGATTTATTTCCAGACGAGCTGCCGAATGAGCTTCCACCGAAGAGACCAGTCGACCATGAAATCCAGATAGAAGATGGAGCCAGACCACCGTCTCGACCCGCCTACCGCTTGCCGAAACCAGAGATGGACGAGCTCCAGTCACAGCTGTCAGAATTACTTGAGAAGGGATTCATTGAGCCAAGTAAGTCGCCATACGGTGCACCTGTGTTTTTTTGTGAAAAAGTCGGATGGTACTCTGAGAATGGTGTGCGATTGGCGAGAATTGAATAGAATTACGATCAAAAACAAAGCTTGTCTTCCTAATATTGATGACTTATTCGACACGATCCAGGGCAGTGCATATTTCTCCAAGTTGGACTTGCGGTCGGGCTACAATCAAATCAGAATTCAAGACTCGGATGTTTCTAAGACGGCCATTAATACGCCGTTCGGCCACTTCCAGTTTAGAGTCATGGGATTCGGGCTGACTAATGCCCCGGCCACCTTTCAGTCACTCATGAACTCTATTCTGCAACCGCATCTCCGAAAATTCGTTGTAGTATTCTTGGATGACATTCTAGTTTTCAGCAAGACCTGGGAAGATCATCAGCATCATATTCAAACAGTTCTAGAAACACTTAGAAATAGTGAGCTGTATTGCAAACAGTCTAAATGCGAATTCGGAGTGAGAGAGGTTCTCTTCTTGGGGCATAAAATCAACGGCACATCAATTTCCCCTGATCCCAAGAAGACAAGTGCTGTGGAAACATGGCCAACTCCGTCGTCAGTAACTGATGTGAGGAAGTTTCTTGGCTTTGCAAACTATTTCCGAAGGTTCATAGATCGACACTCGACCATCTCTCGTCCATTAGAAGAAATCACCGGAAAAAATTCACGCTTTGAATGGAGCGCTGCTAGACAGAAGGCATTCGAGTCTCTAAAATCAGCATTACTCGAGGCGCCAGTGTTGCAACTGGCCGATGTTGAGAAAAGCTTCACGGTAGAAACTGACGCAAGTGACTTTGCCGTGGCGGGTGTGCTCCTGCAGCAGGGAGAAGATATGGATTTGCATCCCGTAGCCTATTATAGTCGGAAACTGTCAGCTGCAGAACGCAACTATACTGCGGCCGAGAGGGAAACGTTGGCTGTGGTATTTGCATTAAAGTGCTGGAGAATCTATCTGTTCCGCCACTTTGACCTGATGACTGATAATATGGGTGTTGTCTATTTACGAACCAAACCGACTCTCACCAACCGTGAGGCAAGATGGGTAGAGTTTTTAGCTGACTATGACTTTACAGTCTTTCACAAACCAGGAAAGAAAAACATTGCCGACCCGCTTTCATGCCGTCCAGATCTGTTCAGTGATTCTGAAATAGTTCAGTTGAATGCCATAGAGCATACCCTAGAGATTAATCCAGACATAGCGCAGTTAATTGTCAGCGGTTACAAGTGCGACAAGGATCTTGCTCCCATTATCAGGAGACTGAAAAATTCAAGCCATGACAATCTGCATGCCCGTTACCTTCTAAATGAAACACCCGGTTATCTTTATCTCAGATCTTCACCACAGAACCGGTTATGCATTCCAAAGAGTAGCAAACTCCGACTCGCCCTGCTTCAAGAATACCATGACTGTGTGACTGCGGGGCATCCCGGTCGAGATCGCACCTATTTCAGACTCGCTAGATATTTCTATTGGCCCAGAATGGGACTGGATGTAAAGGCGTTTGTCAAGTCATGTGACGTCTGCCAACGAGTTAAAGGCGGCCAGCTAAAAACTGGTCTCTTGCAGAATTTACCAGTGCCCAGTCAGCCGTGGGCGGATATCTCGATGGATTTTATCATGGGTTTGCCTAGGACCGATACAGGTCATGATGCTATATATGTATTTGTACACCGCTTGACAAAGTGTGTACATTTAGCACCTACTTCCTCTACTATTGACGCTAAAGGAAGTGCTGATCTGTATATTCAACATGTATTTCGACTTCATGGTTTGAGTTCTAGTATTGTATGTGATCTTGATCCAAGATTTACGGCAGCATTTTTTCAGGAATTGTTTGATCGCTTAGGAACGAAACTAGCATTTAGTACTGCCAATCACCCTCAGACAGATGGCCTAACGGAACGAGTAAACAGAATAGTAGAGGATGTGCTGAGGGCTTTTGTAAATCATAAACAAGATAACTGGGATATGCTCCTGCCTCTCTGTGAGTTTTCTATCAACAGCGCTACTCAATCATCTACAGGAAACACACCGTTCTTCTTAAATTACGGTCTAAATCCCAGAGCGCCACCCGACTTCCTCAACCCTATTCAGGGAGGCAGAGATTCAGCTGATTGGTTGCAAGCAAGACAAGACGAGGTCAAGATCTCACAAGATGCGCTAGTGGCAGCTCAAGCTCGTCAGGCCTTCTATGCAGATCGGACAAGGGTCGAGGGAAAGCTGAAGGTGGGAGATTTGGTAATGGTCTACCGGGATTTCCTCCTGACTCCTGAAGCTCGGGACCGACCATCCCATAAATTACGCCCCAAGTGGTTTGGCCCCTTTCCTATAACCCATGTGGTCGGCCCGAATGCCTACAAGCTAAAGTTGCCTCATACCAGCCGCTGTCACCCGGTATTTAATGTGTCGGCACTCCGTGCCTACGAGAAGAACGCTATTCCTAATAGGAGACAGCCTACGCCTCCGCCTATCACGGACCTTGATGGTCATGCCCGCTATGTGGTGGAGAACATTCTCAGTCACCGCCGCCGGCAGAATCAGCTTCAGTACCTAGTCAAGTGGCAAGGCTACTCTGATGCCACTTGGGAGCCTGAACATTATTTGTTGGATGAATCTGGTAATGACATTGTTCCACTTCAGAAGGACAAAACCTTGGCTTCTGCCCGCTGAGTTTTGCAGTTGAACTTCTAGTTTCACCTTACATATTTGTTGAGCTTATTACACTTTTATTTGCATGGAGTTTCAGTCGTCTTATTGTGTTACTTCAGTGCGAAGCCTTTTTTTCGTCTCGCACGTGTTTGCGCTTATTGTACTCTATTCCACTTGAGCATTTGGGTTATAAGCTCCGTCCTCTCCATAGGAGGGGGATGATGTAACAGTTTTCCCCTGTTCTCTATAACTTTACACTCCCTCGCACCTCATGCGTCTTACGCCTGTCTATTAGCACCTTCATTGGCGCCATTGCCACATGTATTCTATCACATTTTGCATATAACTGGTCGAGGCACGCTAAACCAGGCCTGTTACTTTTCAAGTTCGATTAAACCTGTTACAACAGGGTTGTACGCATCCCGACTTTGGGTACAACTCTCTTGCGGTCACTTTGCACTGTTTGCCAGTATAACCTTTTGAACCATGTCACGTGATGTTAAGTTCTGCTGTCGCAGCACTGCATAGAGGTTGTGCAGGCAGTTGCACACTCTCGGGGTTATGTACTCTTGGTAGAACGAACACGTGATGTGAGTTTTCGCCGTCGAAGACCCCATATGCAGAGTTGCACACTCTTGGGGGTTATATACTCTTGATAATAGGATGCAGCAGCTTCAACTTTGTGGCAACTAGATTGTGTGGCACTTCGACTTTGCAATGCCTTGACTGTGTCGTGCTTCAAGCTATGTCCGATTATTTTCATGCATTATTCTTCTCCCGTTCAGAGAACTCGTGCCCCCCTCCGGCCCCGATTCCCAATGCCGTTACCACCGGCAACAGCACTGTGGAGAAGAATGTTTCCTGCTTGCCTGGCTACACCCTGGCCACCGGTTCACCACCGGTGATTTACTGCCAAACCAACCAGAAATGGACATTCTCTGCCTGCGAGGGTAAGTCCCACTGTTTGAACCAGGGTACAGTATTTTTTTTTTTCTACAAAATCCACATATCTCCAGACACTGGGGTGAATGATGGAGTGTGGTGGTGGGGCCCATTAAGCTCCGCCGACCAGAGGTCTCGGCTTCATAGCTCCATGGACGCACCAAAGGGATATTGGGTGGGGAGGATTAAATTGTAAAAGAAAACAGAAGAAAGAAAATGGAAAGATTGTATTGCTCAGTGAGCAAAAGAATAAGTTGAATATTGATGTGAACGCTGTTAGACTTTTAAATTCAAGAGGAGACTGTCCGTGAGGAGAGATTACATGTATGTCCAAGCAGGGTAGGACACTGTACCCTCTTACTCGCGTATGCTATGAGATTGCACAACTGGTTAAAAAAGAGCCCGCTATAAAGAGTGTGTTGTGGGTTTTGTTATGATGGACTGATAAGTATACAATAAGTGAGGAGGCCGAGGGTTTATGACCAATAAAAACTATTATAAAACCGAGGTCCCGCTCTTCCCTCCCCAGAGGACCAACCATGTGCACGGTCAGTTTCCGTTTCTGCAGGGCGATGCAACACAGCTAGCGCATGTAGCCCTGTCAGGGCCCAAAAGTTTGAGAAATATAGAAAACTGTTTCTCCCCTCCCCCCCCCCCCCCCTCCCCTCACACACACACATACATACTGTACACACACATACATACACACACATACATTTAATTGAGCAACACTGTACCAGGCCACCAAGCCGCTGCATTTAACACTACAATAATAGCAAGAGTATATAACCCCCCAAGGGTGTGGAACACATGATACCCTTTCTATGGGGTTCGCCGACGGCAAAAACTCACATCACGTGGTGTAGTGTCGTAGTTGTACGTTTCCAGCCCGTTTTAGCGAGCAGCGGAGTAATAAAAAAGCACACTCTGACAGAAACTCACTGCGCGTATGCAAATCCCCAGCATGATCCTGGTAGATATTCGGATTGCGCACACGCTATCCTTCCTTTGTACGTAGAACGAACACGTGATGGGAGTTTTCGCCGTCGAAGACCCCATATGCAGAGTTGCACACTCTTGGGGGTTATATACTCTTGATAGTAGGATGCAGCAGCTTCAACTTTGTGGCAACTCGATTGTGTGGCACTTCAACTTTGCGATGCCTCGACTGTATCGTGCTTCAAGCTATGTCCGATGATTTTCATGCTTTATTCTTCTCCCGTTCAGAGAACTCGTGCCCCCCTCCGGCCCCAATTCCCAATGCCGTTACCACCGGCAACAGCACTGTGGAGAAGAATGTTTCCTGCTTGTCTGGCTACACCCTGGCCCCTGGTTCAGCACCGGTGATTTACTGCCAAACTAACCAGAAATGGACATTCTCTGCCTGCGAGGGTAAGTCCCACCGTTTGAACCAGAGTACAGTATTGCACACCTGGTTAAAACAGAGCCCGCTATGAAGAGTGTGTTGTGGGTTTTGTTATGATGGACTGATAAGGTACAATAATTACATGTATGTGAAGTAGAATTCAGAAACGTTTTTCTTTGATGGTCATTGGTGAACCTACATATTTTATTTTATTAGTCCATCATGGAATTATGTCGACTTCAATTGTTTTAGTCATTGTATTGCTGAAGTTTCTTTCTCCAAAACGGCTTTTTTCTTTTTTTCAGTGTTTTACTGAACTCCACAACCCAACAATCTTAAGGAAGACGATACGGTGGACATTGAAGGGCCTATAAATATAGGAGTGATGAAGGGATTTGATGTGCTCAGTCAACAGGTGTCTCGGCACCACAACACACCTCAGTATTATAGTGAAGGGTAACAAAGCGCCATCCTGAGGATCCGCTTTTTAAGAACACATTAGCTTGCCGTAACAAGATTCCCGGGTTGCGTCCAGCTAACATGCTCCATAGTGGATGGGATGATGTTGAGATAGCAGGAATGCTGACCGCAGTATGATACGGAGATAACTTGTTAGCAACAAGTGCTGGACGGTATGATATTCTAAAAGATAGCAGGAGTGCTGAGGTCGGGTAGACGGATGCTGTCATGCCCACCTGGTATGCGCTGAGCTCGCTGTTGACATGCAAAGTAACTCACCCTAAGTGCTGCTTGCAGTGCTGGTCGACCAGCCCTTCCGGATACTAGTAACACCACGAGATCATAAGCTTATTAAATTAAAAGTTGAAAAATAAATTCACTGTTCGCGTGAGACTCGGCTGGAAGCCGAGTTTTCCGTATCCTGTATCGCATCGCAGTTTGCGATGCAAAATCAATCTACTGCTACTCAAAAGTCACCATGACTCGCAGAAAACTGCGATACATACAGCCTATCCATGCCGAGCCTGCGCTATAGGGCTCTCCAGGCACAAACATCAAAAGGGATACAAACTTACAGAGACGCTCCGTTTCCAGCGCGACAAACACCTCGTGAACACCAGATAGCAGCGTGAGTCAGTGTCGCTCCTGGACGGTGAGAACAGACGTCGAGGACCCTCGGTCATTCGCAACGCTGTCACCTCCAAACCAACTACAGCACACTGTAGTCGCAAGCCCGCGCTGGGCACAACAGTACGAAGTAGTTGTTGGGACTTCGGCGATGATTTGTAAGAAAGGGTTTGCTCCCCACACTGGAGCAGAAACTGCTATGCAAAAATATGACAAGAAATTCATCCTTGAATTGGTATAATCGTTTCAGCCCTAATAACCCATAACTTCCAGCAGATATGTCCAACAATTGTGTGCGTGTGTTATCTGGCCTGCAGATCTGAAGTCACCTGGCAGACTGAACTCGACGAACTTGGTGGCTCCCATTGCCGGATCCATCGCTGCCGCTGTAATTGTACTTATTGTGGTGGCCTTCGTAGTACTGCGACGTCGCTCGCGGAGATCTGGCAGCGCGCAGTTGAGGAAGCCGTTCACGCCGCTCACGGGAATGCTCAGCACGTCCATGCTCCTAAGCAACGCAATGTCTCCCACGCAGAACGAGCGGTCCAGCGCAACCTCCGACACTAGAACCATCGTAGAGCGGCCGCCCTGTCAGGAGACAGCCTGCTCCCCGACCAGCGAATGTGCCAGCGGATACGCCAGCAAAAACGCCAGGGACCGGGGGCCATCGTGCGGCGATGATGAGTCCAGCTCCGAGACCAGCAAGTACGCCAGCAAAGCCGCCCAAGAAAAGAAATCATGCAAGGAGGAGGAGTACTTCGACGAGACCAACAGATACGCCAGCCTCAAACTGATTAGAAAAGAATACTCGTGTTAGAATTCCATGTTACTTGCAGAATGTACGTAGAGAGCAGACAAAAATGATTTCCCCCCCCCCCCCCACACACACACACAAACACAAGCAGACGCACTCCCTCGGTCCGTGTATGCACATGCTTGTTGGCCGCGCCATTGCATTCACCTGAACACCATGCATGACGTCACGCAAGCGCCTACTTACTACTGGTCATTAGCCAGTAGCTAGTAGCCAGTGAGTTTGGCTGAATACTGTCCAGATCTGCAGCTCTGCTCTGATAATGTGTATGCCGAGTTGACCTCTGCTGATGGCCTTCTACCTACCAAAATGATCTATCATAATAATAGCAAGCCATAACCATTCTTTATTTATTTATGTACCCTTGATAAGTATGAGAAGTCTCCGTCTTTTTTAAATCCCTTTAGTGTTGCAGCTCTGTTTTAGTCTGATACGTTGTATGCCTACGGTCTCTGCCTGTGGCTCTCTACACATATTGTCCCATAAGGTAATGATGTAAGGATAGAGAAAAGAGTATCCTCCGTCCGTCTTAGGGGCAGCCCGATGTAGGTGAGTGAGCCCGCCTTTCGGCACCGGGACTGTCTCAAAGTGCACCACTAGGGGTGCTGGCAAGCAGGGAGTGTTACCAAGAGTACTTACCCCCCCCCCCCCCCCCGGGTTATGTACTCTTGATAGTACAATAGAGAGGTTCCGGGGAACGATTTTCCGTGCCAAAATCCGTATGGGCGCTACGGATTTGTTTTCCAGGCGTGCTCCACACGATTTTTCGGCACGGAAAATCCGTGTGGACTGGCTTTCATACGAACCATGTTTCGTATGGAGATTTTGCGTCATCGGGTGCAGAAAGATTTTTCGCGTACAAATTTGGTACGAGAAACATCGATTTTCCGCGAGAAGTTTTGATTTCGGTACAAATTTTCAAAATATAAAGGCATAGCGCGGGAATGTGACGTGTTTGCGATCGTAACCTAGGCATTGGTGGCAAACACATAAAGCGGGATTCACAGAAGCTTTTTTTGCGATGCGACACGCGATGCGACGCGACCTGCGATGGATGCGTGCGATGCGAAGTCGCGAAATACCATTCACAGAAGAAGTCAACGATGCGACAAAGTTTTGCTGATTTGGGTACGTCACCATGATATTCGCGCGGTTTGACACAACTTGTAAAAATTTATAGGCAACTCTTGCACCTTTGTACAACTTTGCTGTAGAAAAGGTCAAAATCGTACACCAAATCGCTTGTCGCATCGCATCGCAAAAGTTGAGCCAACCTCAACTTCTGCGATGGCCTGCGATGGCCCAGTTGCGGCAGTTGCGTGGGGTGCGACATGGCTGCGATTTGGGGTTTTCCCGGTTTCGCGTCTGTCGCATCGCGTGTCGCATCGCAAAAAAGCTTCTGTGAATCCCGCTTAAGTTCCGTACCCCGGAACTTTCCAATGCTCGAAAACGACGTATAAAATATCCGTAGCGCCTCCACGGATTTTGGCACGAAAAATCGTACTCCGGAACCTCCCTATTAGCTCCCTCCTCCGCAAGAGCACATCACCCAAGAGTGGACAACTCCATGTACATTATAGCAATAAAAACTGCTTTATGGCAGTTTTCTAAAAAACGTTATTGTGTTCTAGTCCATGGACCCCGTCTAAAAAGTAAGAAATTAACGAAATGTGATTGCCGAAAATTATAATTTCACACAAAACCTCACAATAATCACACACAGGATGTGAAGACCTTTTCCCCTCGTGGTCCTCTTTCCTATTCATGCATGTTGGCGCAGTACTCGTACAAGTCACCCATGAGGTGTCAGTAGGCCTTGACGGATTATGCTAGCATAATTTTTCGCATAGTTCCTACCAAAATTGAATAATCGCAAAATTCGAGGCAAATTGCATAATAATCGCATAATCCGCCTGTTCGCATCAAATTCCACACAGTTGTACATGTTGTACATTGTACAAGTAGATGCACCAGGAAGTCGTAGGTTTAAGACTCCCGTGATAACATGTCCAGTCCAGTGACGGTCGTAGCTAGGTCGGACGATGCGATGACCCCATTGAACTTTTGCTACTACAGAATAAAGCGGGATTCACAGAAGCTTTTTTGCGATGCGACACGCGATGCGACGCGATCTGCGACGGACGCGTGCGATGCGAACTCGCGAAATACCATTCAAAGAAGAAGTCAGTGATGCGACATCTTGCTGATTTGGCTACGTCACCATGATATTCGCGCGGTTTGATACAACTTGTACAAATTTATAGGCAACTCTTGAACCTTTGTACAACTTTGCTGTAGAAAAGGTCAAAATCGTACGCCAAATCGCTTGTCGCATCGCATCGCATCGCAAAAGTAGCCAAGCTCAACTTCTGTGATGGCCTGCGATGGCCCAGTTGCGGCATTTGCGTGGGGTGCGACATGGCTGCGATTTGGGGTTTTCCCGGTTTCGCGCCTGTCGCATCGCGTGTCGCATCGCAAAAAAGCTTCTGTGAATCCCGCTTTACGCCCTCTACAAAACAATTCCCTTGTTATTTTGCACAGAACCATCATGCATGTACATGTACATTAGAAGCATATGTGAGCATAATGCGGCATAATATGATAACTTTTAGCATAAAAATAGCATAATTCTGCAATTTTTTTAGCAATGCGAAAAGCATAATTTCACGAAAATATTAGCATAAAGCGGGATTCACAGAAGCTTTTTGCGATGCGACACGCGATGCGACACGCGATGCGACGCGATCTGCGATGGATGCGTGCGATGCGAACTCGCGAAATACCATTCACAGAAGAAGTCAGCGATGCGACAAAGTTTTGCTGATTTGGGTACGTCACCATGACATTCGCGCGGTTTGTCATAACTTGTAAAAATTTATAGGCAACTCTTATTATTATTATTTATTCATATTGCCAAGAGTGCATAAACAAGAGTATGCAACTGTGGTTATGGCCCAGTGCGCGGCGCGCTGCCTTCATTACGTAACTTGCCCTCATCACGCTCTGAAAGCATGCATTCAAACTCACAAATTCTCGTACGAGCCCATCCGTTTTTGCTCGATTCGTTCCAGTAGCTACGCGATCTCTGAGTTATGGCGCGTGAACTCCAGTTCCGTATGAAAGTTCATTTCAAACCAGAGGGAAAGCGCGGTGTTTGATTTTCCGCAGTGCGCGGACTCAGCGCTGCAGCTGAATTATGTAATGAAGGCAGCGCGCCGCGCATCTGGCCATGGCCGCATCTGGCCCATAGAAAAGAGATCACAGTTGCATACTCTTGTTTATGGACTCTTGATATTGCACCTTTGTACAACTTTGCTGTAGAAAAGGTCAAAATCGTACACCAAATCGCTTGTCGCATCGCATCGCATGGCAAAAGTTGAGCCAAGCTCAACTTCTGCGATGGCCTGCGATGGCCCAGTTGCGGCAGTTGCGTGGGGTGCGACAAGGCTGCGATTTGGGGTTTTCCCGGTTTCGCGTCTGTCGCATCGCGTGTCGCATCGCAAAAAAGCTTCTGTGAATCCCGCTTAATCCGTCAAGGCCTATGTGTCAGACCAAGATGGACTCTTGGTCGGACTAAACAAGTGTTGAAAGCAGTATTTTTTTTAAACTAAGGTCCTCAAGTGTTGTGATTATGTAATGGTAGCCGAGTGGTAGGCGCGGTGAAATCAACAAGAATTACTTTTATTCTATTTCTTTCAGGTACACACCTGAGATATAATTATTAGTGAAAGAAGAAGCGGCAAAATAACTGACTTTCTCTCCGGTGCACACTGCACACCTGGAGGTTGAATAGCTCGTTATTATCAAAATCTCCTCTAAACAGAAATGCGCAGCAGCTTTTATGCAGCAGACGCCGTACGCTTATATACGGAGATACACTAACTATAGTTACTATACATCAGGCAAAGCTCCGTATTAGTTCCGTACTAATTCCGTATTGGTCGGGCAGGGATACTATACCCTCCCTTCCTACAGATTATCACGCCCTCGTGATTTTCAAAAAATTAGTGAAGAGTTACAAACACAGCGTCAACCGGAAGATGGCAAATTATATCGGAAATGATAACGTTTAGAGTAGACAGAAGAAATGAACTGATAACAAATCATAAAGTAGAAGCACACCAGGTTCACACGATCTCACGGGGTCAAAAGGGGAAAGAACTGTCCTCCAAATAGGACCTGAAAAACTACAGCACTCTTGCTGCACAACGCTGGCACAACCCGCCAGGAACATCGCAGTTCAAAAACCGAACTGAATACACTATAACTATAACGGGCGTTGTCACACACATTGTCCCACGTTAGCTGGGTAAGCCGTGGCTCACCATGATCAGACGCCTACCAAACTAAACTGGATTCACACACTCGCATAAAGGAAGACTGAAGAGAACAGGTAGGGAGCGGGTCGCTTGGAATTGCCATCGGAGTCTCCAGAGAGTGCCGTGCGGAGAGAAGGGTGATCCACGCTAGCACCCTGACTGTGCTGCTAGCTAATAAGCAGGGCCAATCCAAGGAAGGCAAGAAACATGATTCTCATCTTAATTCATCGCACGGAGCTGCAGCGGGTTGAGCCATGGGGTCTGGGGTCGAATCACGTTGTTCTATTTAAATCTACACCGCTGCCACCAATGTAACAGGTAGCCGAGTGGTAGGCGCGGTGAAATCAACAAGAATTACTTTTATTCTACTTCTTTCAGGTACACACCTGAGATATAATTATTAGTGAAAGAAGAAGCGGCAAAATAACTGACTTTCTCTCCGGTGCACACCTGGAGGTTGAATAGCTCGTTATTATCAAAATCTCCTCTAAACAGAAATGCGCAGCAGCTTTTATGCAGCAGACGCCGTACGCTTATATACGGAGATACACTAAAGCCTAGCTCACATTCGACGGGGCGCGACGGGACGCGACGTAAGGATCGACGGGAAGCGACGGGACGGACTGACGGCGTCCAATGTGAACACCAGGAACGGGAACGCAACCGTACTACCGTACAGATCGGGAAGCGACGGGAAGAGTTGGATCGATCCAACTTTACATACCGTAGACGGGCGTAGACG